CTTGTGGGAGGAGAGCAGGGGATGCAGAAAGTGAAGACTCCACCCTTGGCTTCTAAGAGCCGGTCTGAAACTGCATGAACTACATGCGTGCATGGCTTGAGGAGGGACACAGTACTGAATCAACATTGGACTGAGCAGCTGGGCCAGTAGGACCCGGTAGGGAATGCAAACAGATCAAACAGCCATGTGTAAGAAATGCCACAGCTTATGCTCAACTATCAGTGGCAGCTACACTGGGCCTCAGAGAGGCAATTGGGAGTGGTGGGGACTGGGGCAAGTTGGCAAGCACTTGATCCATAAAAAAGGAGTAACTGCTATAGCTGGTAGTTGGATGAAGAACTGAGGATTAACTGTTGCCAGTCTTCTAAGTTGTCAAGAGAATCTGGACATACGGAATGTTACAAGAAATCTCCTGATTTTTAAATGTTGGCAACTTACTTAAAATTTTTAAACATTGTGTGTCTGCCAACACGATGGCAAATACACCAAGTATCTGCACCCTGAGCAGCCTCTCAAGTTCTCTTAATTAGACAAACACCAGCAAATCCTTACACATATATAGATCCTATAATGCCTAATTAGCACAGGGCACAGTTCCGGGCAGTTTTAAAAGTGAGTTAAATTAAGGTGGTGGTACAGCAGTTAAAGGATGTCTGTGCAAAAGCAAAGCAGTTCTGTCAAGAGAAAACAGGTAGTGAAGCCTGTCTGGTAGTGATTTTACCTTTCGTACATGCTATGGGTGAGTTTTTCTAGCCCCTGGAAATAGAAAATGTGGAGTCCAGGTGAGAGCTAAGGGATACGGTATAGAATGGGAGTCCCAGCTTCCAGGGGCGTGAACGTGGGAGAAGGGAGGGGACAGTCTTGGGCAGGTATGGGCAAGTGAGGATGGAGAGCTGGTAAAGGGGGCAGAGGACCAGAGGTTCCAGGGGAAGCAGTGTACCTCAGGTCTTGGCTGAAGACAGATCTCTGGGTTTTAGAGAGCAGCTCTGTAAGGTAGCAGGAAGGAAGGCCAGGTTGCAAAGGGTGGGGACAGGGGTTTGGATAAGGGGTGAGTGAGAGGAAGGGGGAGTGGAGGGAGTGCTGGAGGCAAGAACGGGGCTGTAAACTTTTAATTAAAATTTTTAAAATTGTGGTATGATACACATAACATAAAGTTTATCATTATGTTCACACTGCTGTGCAGCTTATCTCCAGAACTTTCTCATCTTTCAAACCTGCAGCTCCGTCCCTGTGAAACAACTCCCCAGTCCCCTCCGCAGCTCCCGCCAGCCCCATTCTTTCTGTCTCTATGAGTCTGACTGCTCTCAGTATACAGTAGTTGTCTCCTTATGACTGCCTTATTTCAGTCGGTGTAATGCCCGCAAGGTCTGTCCAAGTTGTGGCAGGTGTCAGGGTCACCTTCCTGTTTAAGGCTGAATAATGTTCCACTGTAGAGATGGACCACTTTTTCTTTATCCAGCTGTTCATCTGTCCATGGACATTTGGGTTGCTTCCATCTTCTAGCTTATATAGCTTTTGGCGGGGGAAAATTTTGGCTCTGAAAGGAGAGAAAAAGAAATCAGTTTCACTTGCTAGGATCACCAACATGAGAGTGGGTGTGGGCAGGACCACTGATGGGTTAAAAATAGATTATGTATGAGACAGAATCTACCCGGTAGCAAATTGGAGGAGGAGATGGTGTACTTGGCAAAGTGTTTTTGTTTCTGATAATACACATTATTGGTGTCTTGCTCCCCATACTGGGAGTATTTTTAGGTCTTAAGACTTCTATTAGTTGTCTTTCTCTAAAGCTTTGCTGACACTTGCTTCTTAAGTGAACATTAAGCCTAAGTGCAGTTAGTTAATCTCTGTTGCATTTTATTTGTCTCCAAAAAGACAGGATAGAAAGGAAGACTGTGTCATTTTGTTGAGGATTCCTCCTGTGTCTGGGATCATTGTGTGGCATTTGTGCTCAAAAAATCCATCCAGAGAACTGCTCCTAAGAACATGGTAAATCTACCCCTAAGTCTTCTTGCCCCCCCAACTATATATATTCTACATTCAGCAGCATCTAGCATCTCGCCTTGTCCTTGATTATTCTCCTACAGTACTTCGGTGACAGTGTGGATCAGTGGTGCCTAGCCAGGAATGCACAAGGAGTTACTCATGGGGCTTTGGAAAAACCCACATGCCTAGGCACTCCCCTAAGAGTAACCAAGTCAGAATGCCTTGTGCCAGGGTCCTGGAATGAGCATTCTTAGTTTTAGTTTGTTCTTAAGGTATTTTCAAGTAGAATTGGACTGGTAACATTCTGAGCTGATGGTCAACATACAGTTTTAAAGGAAATTTTAGTTTTTTTCTTTTTTCATGGATATGGCAATGGATTAATTCTGCAAATTCATTCTTTTTTTTAATTTTTAATTTTTTTATTAAGGTATGATTGATATACACTCTTATGAAGGTTTCACATGAAAAAACAATGTGGTTACTACATTCACCCATATTATCAAGTCCCCACCCATACCCCATTGCAGTCACTGCCCATCAGTGCAGCAAGATGCCACAGATCCACTATTTGCCTTCTCTGGGCTACACTGTTTTCCCCGTGATCCCCCCACACCATGTGTACTAAATATAATACCCCTCATGTAAATTCATTCTTGATAGATCAGGTAAGATTTGAGTGCACAAAACAACATTTCCAAAGTTCTAAAAACATGTTTCATCATGTACTGTATTACATATATGTGTGTGTGTATGTGTATATTTACATATATAGAGGGAGGGAGGGAGAGAATGCTTCATTCATTGAGTGTTTATTGAGTACCTGCTTATATGCTAGACCTTGGTCTCAAGAATTGAGGGGACAGGTCCCCATCTGGTCTGTTAACTTACAGAGCTTATGTTCTAGCTTCCACGCTTTCTATTTGGATTTCAGAGTCTGGAAATAATAACAAGAGCAATCACATAGTTCACTGATTTACTGTTCTAAGACCTTCACCTATTTGATTTATTTAACCCTGACAATAGCCCTGTGGACTAGACCTGGTCATTTTACAGAGGAGGAAAATGAGGCAGAGAGGTGAAGTAATTTCTCTGTGCCACACGTCCATGAAATGGTATAGTGGAAGTTAAAGCCCTGTAGGCTGGCCCCAGAGTCACTATACCTGCTCACTCTTCCTTTCACCTCCGACGTATCTTAGCAAACACAAAGTTTGCCTTAAGCCAGGCAGCAGGCGTAGGCCATGCAGTTTCAAAAGTTTGCAGGATATCCTGCTAGACCCCAGGACTTGAAGGTATAATTCCTAATACCCCAATTTGGAGAGTTTTGCCATTTTCCCCACCACCTCTGTTAATATTGGCAGGCTCTCTTACTAGATTTGCAAGTCATCTGTTGTAATGAAAGAAGCAGAAAAGAAATTCTGGATTTTTGGAGGAAAAGATTAATCACAAAGTCAGAAGTTATGGGGGTATCAGAATCGACCCAAAGCTAGGTCCAGATCTTTCACCTGCTTTTTCTTGTAACTTTGTGCTGATATATATGCTTCCATTTTTTTCCAGCTGGGAATTATTGTGCTAATCTTTTCTGTTGTCCTTTCTTTTTTATGAACCAGTGGTTTGAGTACAAAGTCTCTGTCTTGAATGATCCCCCGTCCTCAGAGGAGCTCTTAGCCCCCACTCTTCATGTTTTTTTTTCTAAAACACGTACCATAAATATTCACAATCATTAATATCATCAGGCAGCTCAGGCTATATGGACAGAATTGCAAATCAGTCGTGGTAACTGAACAGTCAAATGAGAATACAACTGATCTGTGTTTTCTTTACCCAAGTCAAAAGCTCAAATGAGACATGAGGCATTTGGTCTCTCTCAGTTGAAATATCCTGTTTGGCAGCCTCATGACCTCTTAGGGAGTCTAATGACCCTGCCTGTTGAACTGAGCACCGTTCCTGATTCCACTGGAGTTTGACGACGTATTCCAGCACTGTTGGCAGGCCTCCTTGTCCCTCAGCTGTGTGCTGGGAGTCTGCTTCCTGCGAGCTGGTGCTGAGGGAATGGCCTTGCTGCAGTGCTGTGACCCACTGGTGCTTGGGCCATCCTGCTGCCCCACCTGCTCCAGGGGTGCCTGTTCTTGAGAGGCGTCTGGTGATTAAATCCCACTCCTGTCCACCTGACGCTGGGCATCCTACCAATTGCTGTGCCTGTTGCCAGACTGGTCTGCACAAGGTACCACCCTGGCCTGCAGCCTGGGCAGCGATGTGGCCCTGTTTAAACAGTCCCTCCACCACCGTGTGATTCTCAGCCCCACCCTCCCAGTTAAGAACTGGTGCTGGACCTGGACTCTCATTTAACCCAGCAGTCCTCTGTCTGATGCTTACCTGAAACCCAGGTGTTTGCTGTTAAACAGGACAGCAGTGCACATCTTCCTGGTTAGACCTCCGTCCTCATTTCTGTTTTCTGGGGTAAATTCTTAGAGGTTGAATTTTAGAGTCAAGGGATAGGCATATTTTTAAGGTGGGCTGTAAGCCAATGTGAACAGGGGGACACAGAGGTGGCTGGTGTGGTGAAGAAGGCACCAGGCAGGGGGAGGAGGTATGGGTTCAAGACTGGCCTGTGCCACTGGCGCGGCGGGGCTTGGGGCAAGTCCTTTGGTTTTGTTTTCCTCTTTTGTAAAATGAAGCGATGTGCAGACATTACCGGTTCTCTGTCCTGCAGGCAGATGAATAAAAGGAGGGCGCATGTGCTGGGGTCCACGGCGGACTTGCGTAACAGCGGGCTTCGCCGTATGCAGCAGGGATGGCTTCATGGTGCTGGCTTACTTGAATTGCTGCAGGATTTCAAAGAAGCTGTCCGTGTCCTGTACTATAAGAGAAGAAAGTCTAGATGACTGTCTGGAGTCTAGAGCATTTTAGCCCTGTGATAAATGGATAGATCAAAGAGGCTTCCCTCACACATATGCCATGGATGTGCTTCCAGAGCTGATTACTCTGATGTTAATTTCACTCTTGTGTCTTTACAGAGAAACTTTATGGTGATGTACCTTTTATAGAAGAAAGACACAGACATCGGTATGAGGTATGGCTTTCACACTGAATTACTGTGGAGTATAGAATCTTAGTGCGGAGCACCCAGTGATTACAGGTGGAGGCCTCTGGAACAGGTGTCCAGCTGGTGGTATCCGTAGGGCCTGGAGGAGGTGGGTGGAGATGGAGAGACTGTACTCTTCTTGGTTTTTCAAAGGCAAAACCTGTAAGTATCTGCACACGGGACATATCAGGGTTCTATGTCACCCTAACTGCTCTCTCCTAAACCAAGATAAGGTCATCTTCCTTATCCTTAACCCCCTGTGCTTTATTTTGTCAGGTTTGGGAAAAGGGAACTTGCATCTTCAAACCAAATGCCTCTCTGGAAATCACGTAATAGATTCCTGGTTTGTGAACCTCTTTGGAAGTCTACACTGAGCATGAGGCTTAGTGTCACATGCTTTAGAGAAGTTATTGTTGAGATTGTCCCATGAGAAGCATAGGTTCCCCCAAATGCAGATTGTTTATAGCAGGATTAATTTGTGTATCAGTTATAATGCTTTCAGCTGCAAAGAATTGAAGTCTCTGCTTGCTATTCATTCACCAGCCTAAGTGATAAGGAAATTTATTATCTCACGTAATAGGGAGTCCAGAGGCTGGGCAGGCTCCAGACATAGTGCAATCAGGGCTCTTGGTGATTCTGGGACTCTCTTGGCACTACCTTTTTCTGTGTGTTTGCCTTGCCCAGAGGCTGGCCTCCCTCCTAGTTGTAGGATGGCTGCCAGCAGGAACTGAGGCAATGTGCATCTCTCCTAGACATGGAAGTTTTTCTTCAGTCTGATTGGGTCAATTTAGATTACCTGCCTACTTGTGAACTAGTAACCCTTGCTAGGGCAATGCAGAACCAGGCGCACACATGGATTCTTCTATTACCCATCTGCCAAGAGGATGGACTTAACCATGTTTGGCTTAGACCAATTAGGACCAACTTCTAGAATGGGGGAGATAGAGTCCCATGGGCCATGCCGGGGTGGAGTAGATACCAGAGCAAGCCCAGGGTTCTGTTTTGAGGGAGGACCAGTGGGAATCAATGCTGGGTAATCTATGAACAGTGTCACTACAATTAGGGAACATAATTTGCTGAGTATAGGCCATACTGGTTTTTTGGTCCAACTAGTGGGACAAAAACTATTGAGTTGCTTTGCCTAGAAAGTGTAAGAACCACTATGCACATGACAGTGTGGCCATTCATTCCTACCTACCTATTTTGCACCTGATGTGCCTTGGAGATGAAAGGGGGAAAGACACACATAGTCTCCCTCCTTGTTAGGGCACTTACATTCTGAATAGAGAGGACAAAAAATAAGAGAGATAAAATAGTTACAGATAAATCATATATCAGATAAGGTACTTGTATCTAGAGTATATAAAGAATTCTTGCAGCTCAATAATATATAATGGCAAAGGATCTGAACAGACATTTCTCCAAAAAAGATATACAAATGGCAAATAGCCAAATGAAAAAATGTTCCAACATCCTTTGTCATCAGGGAAATGGAAATAAAAATAAAGAGATACCACTTCTTAGCCACTAGAACAGCTATCATCAAAAGATGGATAGTAGCAAGTGTTGGAGGGGATGTAAAATGGTGCAGCCACTTTGGAAAGTCATCTGGCAGTTCCTAAAAAGGTTAAACAGACTTACCATATGACCCAATAATTCCATCCTTAGGTATATAACCCAAGACAAGTGAAAACATACGTCCACACAACATATACAAATGGTCACAGCAGCTTTATTCATAACAGCCAAAAAGGAGTAGAGGCGACCAAAATGTATGAATGGATAAATTGTCATCTGTCCATACAATGGAATATTATTTGTCTATAAAAAGAAATGAAATAGTGATACATGATATAACCTGAAGGAACCTAGAAAACATTATGCTAAGTGAAAGAAGCCAGTCACAAAAGACCACATGTTACATGATTCCATTAACATGAAATGACCAGAAGAGGCAAATCTAAAGAGAAAATGTGTATTAGTGGTTGCCTAGGGCTGCAGGGGTGGGTTAGGGGTGGGAGTGATGAGGGGATTGGGGAATCATGGTTAGAGGTGTAGGGTGTTTTTTTGGATTGATTGTACGGATGGTTGAAGTCCTCTGTGAATATACAAAAAATCATTGAGTTGTACACTTTTAGTGGGTACATTGTATGATATGTGAATTATATCTCAATAAAGCTTTAAAAAAAGGAAAAATTATGAGAACTAGCCTAGTGTTAAAAAATAAAATGAAAGTATATGGGGTTAAGATTGAGATACACAGGTGGAGCCCCTCTTTGATTTTTAGGTGAGGAAGGGCTTTTTGTGAATGACAGGCTGAAATGTTTGGGAAAGGGCTGGCAATGAGATAAGTGAGAAAAGGGGCTGTGAACCAGATTGTCAAGTTGTCCTCTGTAAACAATATTTTTTTTATTGAAGTATCATTGATATACAATCTTATATTGGTTTCAGGTATACAACATAGTGGTTAACCAGTTATCCATGTTATTAAATCCTCACTCCCACTAGTGCAGTTACTATCTGTCACCATAGGAAGATGTTACAGAATCACGGCTATATTCTCCATGCTGTACTACTGTTCCCATGACCAACTTATATTATGATTGAGAATGTTTGTGCCCCTTTATTCCCCTCGCCCTCCCCACCCACCCACCTGCCCCAGCCCCTCCCCCATGGTAACCACCAGTCACTTCTCAGTGTCTATGAGTCTACTGCTGTTTTCTGTAGCCAATATTTTAAGTTATAAAAAAGTTGTTCCAAAGTGTAGCACAGAGAAGGCACATAGTGGATCTGTGGCATCTTGCTGCACTGATGGACAGTGACTGCATTGGGGTATGGGGGGCCTGGATAATATGGGTAAATGTAGTAACCACATTGTTTTTTCATGTGAAACCTTCATAAGAGTGTATATCAATCATACCTTAAAAATAAAAAAAAGGTTGTTCCAAGTTTCTCTTTAGAGCTTTTATGTGACTGTAGGTTAAGAAAGCACTGGGGTTATTCACAAGGGAAATAAGATAGTTTCAGTCCTCAAGTGGGTTTGTGATTTGGGAGAGATAGTTAATTACATAAAACTCAAGGGAAGAAGTAAACATGGGGATAGCTATAAACAGCTAGCGTAGAGGCTCCCAGTCAGAATATCTGTGTCACAGTTTGACTTTTTGAATCTCATCTTTGGGTGATAGAAGGTGGGCCTCCCAGATGTAGGGGCTATGATTAGACTATTTCTGAGGTTCATTGTGATTTTAACAATAGGCTTTGGGGGGTTGAATAGAGAAATTAACTACTAGTTAGAGCATCACTGAAATGGAAAACCCATCCAGTCGATGGAGGATATTTTCAGAAGCTGACAGGTCTGTATGACTTTACTGTCCAAAGACAGTTTTGTTTTTCTAGGTGAACCCTAGCCTGCTCAACCAATTTGAGTGGAGTGACTTACATTGTGTAGGCAAGGATGTCAGTGGGGAGAGGCTGGAAATTGTTGAACTGGCAAGTAAGTGGTTTCTTCATTTTTGAAAATTTTTACAGTGAGCTAATATCTTTCTGTTGCCTGTGGAAATTTGGAGATATAACTTGACACCTGTTGTGTTTGCTTGCTTGCTTTTCCTTTCTCCTTTGAAATAGATATGCAGCTAAGTATAAATAACATGACCAAATATAAAGTGCATGAAAACACAGACCTTATAATGCATATCATTTTGGGGCTTATTGGTCTGAACCTATCATAAAATGATGTACAGTTCTCCTACATCTCTGCCCCCTTTCTGGGGCTTTTCGTAAAGCTGGCCTGTAGGTAGGTGCTCTGGGAAAGGTGGGCCACCCACTGTTGAGTAGCATTCTGGTTCCTCCCTCCTTGGAGGAAGAATGGCGCAGAGCCCTCCTCACTACTGGTGACTGGTGTCGATGTCTGTTATGTGTAGGACCTGCCTCTCCTTCCACCTGGATTCTGCTTTTTCCCCATTGCGCATGCTCCATGGTCAAGGGTGGGCCAGCCATTTAACTTGTGAATGCTAATCCCTGTGCTCAGAGAGGTTCTTAGTAAGGCCAAACACAGCACAAAGGGATTGAGCGTCTGTTGAGGAAGATCACCAAAAAAGTAGTTTGTGTCTGGGTTGGGACCCTGTGGGGAGCAAAGGCACAAACCAAAGGCACAAACTCATCTATTACTGATGAGACAGAGGACTGCTCTCATTCGCAGCTGCAGAGGCATGGTAAGCCCGCGCTTACAGCTGATCCCAGCTCTTTCTATTGACATTCTTGCCCAGGGCTTGGCAAACTACCACCTGTAGACCCAATTCAGCCTGCTGACTGTTTTTGTGCAGCTCATGAGCTAAGAATAGCTTTTACATTTTTTAAATGGCTAAAAAAAAAAATTACAAGCTTTATGGTGCATGAAAGTTATATGAAATTTTAGTTCCTATAAATAAAGCTTTATTGGAGCACAGTCACAGTCGTTCATTTGTGTATTGTCTATGGCTGCTTTTATGCTACAGTGGCAGTCATGGGTAGATGGGAAAGAGACATGGCTCCCAAAGTCTGACATTATTTACTACTTGGCCCTTTACAGAAATGCTTGCCAACCCCTGTTCTACACCCATGCACATGCACTTCATTTAACTAACTTGACCTAACATTTTCAGGTGCCTGTGTGACTTGTTTGTCGGGTAATTTTCTTAGCGCTTCCAACTCAGCTTACTTCAAACGAAATGTCTGCGTGCTGCAAACTAGTTCTTCGTCCTGACTATTTCTGTTGAGGTGTCATCAGTCAGTTTGTCCAGGGGTTCTCACCCTCGCCACTGTTGGCACTTGGAGCGGCATAACCCTTTGTGGTGGGGGCTGTCCTGCACACTGTTGGGTGCTTAGGTCTGGTCTCTGCCCACTGGATGCCAGTAGCACCATATCCCCCCCAAAGTTGTGACACCCAAAACATGTCCAGACACTGCCAAATGTCCCTGAGGGACACATTTGCCCCTGGTTGGGAGCCACTGTCCTAGACCATCAGGCTTGAAATTGAACTTGTTTATTTAGCTCTTCTTTTTCTTCATACTCCCAACTTGTAATCAGCTGTTGAGTCCGTCTCTAGAAAGAGTGCATGTGGGATTGCATTTCCATCCCCATGCCCCTGGTCCCAGACTCCGGCTCAGATTAACCTCAAGGTCCCTCCTACCGCCAGGCGTTCCCCTCTCCAGCACCTCCTAATGAGAACAGGGCTCTGAGTATGCAATGCATGTGACACTGGTTTGTTAGATAAAGTACTCTCATTTATTGAATGAGTAGTATATACAGGAGACTCTAAAACGGGTAGCTAGATTTTCTAGAACCTACCTTTTCAACCTATATTTTTTAGGCTCCAGGTATCCTGGATTACTTACTCTTCTTCTAACTTTCCTACTTCTTTTTTCACCTTAGCCCTCATCCCCATCCTCTACTTCAAATTCCTTTTCTCTGTCCCTTTCCTTTTCTGTCTTTAGTCTGCTCAGGTACTTCAGGAGTACCGAGCAGGGAGGAGAATGGAAGTTGGAGAAGGCTTCTTTGAATGCAGTAGCATGATACCAGGACCCTGAATGAAGAAAAGCAATGCACATTGAGCGTGCATTCACTAGCTGCGTCTCATGAGACCCCTTGCTTGGGCCTCCGAGCGCCTTAATGTAACTTGCAAGGCAGGCGATGTTATTTATTCCCACTTTACAGAGAAGGAGACTGGAGTGTAAAGAGGGTTAAGTAACTTACCCAGGGCTGTCCAGCTCATCACTGGTGGGGCTGGAGCCAGAGCAGGTTGTAGCCTCCTTCTGCCACCACATTTGTGGAATCTCTTGTTTTCATTGGACATTCCACCCAAGATGATCAATCCGTGCATAAAGTTTTGAATTAGAAGATGGAGATGCATAGCCTGTCTTCCTTCTGAGGGAAATGCCCATCTTTTAGGATTTTTATAGTGTGGATCACTGGTGTTGAAGTCTCTTAAGTCTTTCTGGCATGTGAGAAGCAGAGAATTTCTTAAGCAGATTACTATTTGTTTACTTTGTTCAAGTACTTATTCTGTTTTAATTCTCCTGGCTCCCATTATTGTCAGCAAATACTTAGAAGCCTCTTTCCTCACAAGAATTTAGATTTCCATTGACACTTTGAAATTTCATGTGGGTTGGAAAGGAAATGAGAGCTGCTGTAAAAACTTGCAGTCTTTAAAAGCTGACTGCAAGGGAATTCATTTTGTTAAGAAAAATCCCCCAGAAGACTTTGATCTTAGCTACCCCTTAGAAGCATATCCACGAATCTCCTAAAGGATTTCTAAAAGGAACAACAAAACTTGAGATCAGTATAGTGTCAGAATTTGGTTCAAAGCAATTAAGAGCATTATTTAAAAGATACTTTATCTAACTGATAGAATATCATCAAAATAAAAACTTTTAGTCTCTTTCCTCATATTGGCATAGGGGACTTTTTGGGACAAAGTGATTCAGAGCATGATCCATTCATTCATTCTGTCTTCGGCCATGACATGATCCAGCACTCAGCTTCTGTCTGTAGTGGTACAAAAACACAGTGTCTGCTTCTTTCAAAGACATCCCTAGATGCTGTGCTGTAAGATGTGTCATATCTTAAATTTAAAGCTAAATTGCTTACTTTCTTTTCCAAGTGGGGATAATTTCTCTTCTTCTTTTCTTGAGGGGACATATTCTTGGGAGAAGGTGGCATTCCCCCTTACCAAGGTTTCATACCCGAGTGTCCCTCTTATTCAAGGAGGCTTCTTCCTAGATGTGTAGAGAATTTCTATACTGGGGTTTTCTGGACTCAGAGCTGTCCAGTAGAACTTGGTACAAAGACGGGATGTTCTGCCCTGTTTAATATGGTAGCCCCTAGCCATGTGTGGTTATTGAACACTGGAAACATGCTCAACTAATTTGAATGAATTTAAATAGCCACATGTGGCTAGAGGCTACCATTTTGTGTAGCAAAGCTTTAAATGATAACCTTAGCATTGAACCTCTGCGTTCAGTCATTCTGTCACTATTGCAGCAGTGTCTTTGGGTCTCAGGTGGTAAGTGATGGGATTTGTGGTTTTTGAATTCCAGACTAGATTTATAGATCATTTGATAACACATCTCATCTAAAGCTTTAAAGTTGTACTTATTTACCCCTGTAAAGCTCACATTCTATCATCTTCAGTTTGATATATATAGCAATTAAAATTATTTTTGAAGTAGGGAACATAGCACACTATACTATAGTAATTATGCTCTGTGCTATAGTAATTAGGGGACTCGGGAGTTGCCTGTTCTCTAATTAGGAGTTGCTTCCTAATCTGGGAAAAAACATAGTTTTTGAGAGTTCTGTTTGGAGGAAGGAATTTAATCCCAGAAAATTTCTACCCAGATTTGGAAATGTTGCCCATTTAATCTTACCATTCCAAGAGGGGATTCCTGTTGTTAAAAGTATCTGGGAAAAGTTACTTTTCTGTTCCTGTTCCTATTACATCTAGAAGAACTTGAATTGCTCATATAGACACTTCTTACCATGGTCAATATGAAAATAACATAATTTCCACCCGATCATGTAAGTAATATATGCTCATTGTGAAAGTTCACACATTCTGGGAAAGTATAAGGAAGAGAATAAAAATATCTTAAACCCTCACCACCTTGAGCCATAACCACCAGCAGTATGTTGCAAGGCCGTCCCTTTATCACGCAGAGACCTCATCACAGGGGAGTAGTGGGGATAGGCTGAACTATGAGTGCCAGGTCAGGTTCTTGGTGTCACCTATGATTAATGTCCAACCTAAAGCTGTGACTAGGAAAGCACTTGGACTTGCTGCATTCCCAGGGGATTCTTCCCTGGGGAAAAGAGAAGACCTTGTAGGAAATGGCCAGAATGACCTCCAGTTAGACCACGGTGTGAGGGAGGCTGTGGAAATGGAGCTAGCGTAAGTCTATGAAGAGCCTTCAAAAAGCAGGCGGACTTTAGGAAAGCAGAATTCATCTTGCCATTCAAAAATTTTTGTTAACTTTGCTCACTCTAACACCTTCCACAAATAAAATTCTGGGTCTCTTATTAAATGAGATGTTTTGCAATTTGAAGTTCTGCTGTGAAGATGGATCATGAAAATCACTGGCTATGATGATATCAAATTAAATAATCATCTCACCATTTAGTGAGTTTTCTTATTCAAAGTTAAGACCTATAAAGCAGTTCTCATGTTTGTCTGCTTCAATCCGCCTCCTGATTGTTCTCATTTCAGATCACCCCTATTTTGTTGGTGTCCAATTCCATCCCGAGTTTTCTTCTAGGCCGATGAAGCCTTCCCCTCCGTACCTGGGGCTATTACTTGCGGCTACTGGGAAACTGAATGCGTACCTGCAACGGGGACGCAAACTGTCTAAGAGGTAACCAGCATACTGCTCTTAGCAGCAACCCAAGATGCGGTTGTCAACAGCTTAGGTTTCTCAGAAACTTTAATATCATTACGGGGTTTGTTTTGAAGTGAGAATCGTTTTTCCCTTCTGACAGTCATAATTTGCTCTCTTACAGAAAGTGATGTAATCACATCTACAACAGTAATGTGTCAGCTTTCCAAACCATGCCAGCACTGGGTGTTAGTTTGGAAACTTTTGTCGTTTTGATAACTTAAAAATAGGATTTTCTTTGTTGACTCTTTGATTAATAAATATATGTTAATGTTTTATATGTTTATTGGCTCTTTGTTTTATGAATAACCTGTTCATATCCTTTGCCCTGTTTTTCCTTTTGTTGTTATATCCTTTTTCTTACTGATTGCTAAGCTCTTTATATATAAAGGACATTAACCCTTTGCAAAGTTGCAAATATTTTTTCAGAGTGATTCTCTTTGTCTTCTATGTTTTTAATGGTAGTTTTCATTTTCCCTAGAGTTTTAAATAAGGACCTTATATAGCCTTTATTTATGTATTTTTTAAATTTATGTAGTCAAATCTTTAACTGTTATGGGTTCTGCCTTTTCTATCATGCCCAAAGTCTTTCCTTCCTTATCAAAAGATTACATAAAAGATAAGCCATGTGTTCTCCACTACCACTTGGATGGTTTCCATTTTACAGTTTAAATCTATAATTTTGGGTGTAGTATATGAGGTAGGATCTGCCCCCACCTTAGTAAGGGGGCTGATTTATTTAGGGATTTCTATCTTGTTCCATTGATGATTTCCCTTCTTACCTCTGTACCCTTACCACCCTTTTCATTATCATTGTGTTATTGTAAATCAAGCCCCTAATCGGTTCCACTTCCATTATGATAACACTTTTTAAAATGTATTTTGCTGTCCTTAGGTGAATTACACAATTATTTTAAAAATCAGGTTCAAATAAAAAAATCTCTCAGGGATTTTCATTAAAATTTCTTTACATTTAAATATCAGTTTGGGGAGAATTTATATCTTCGTTTCTTCTCATCCAAGAATATTCTATGTAATAACTTTAAAAGTGGAAGGAACTAGCCAGAGTCATAGACTTCGGCAGAGGCTATTACCACAGTAAGCAGATAATAACCCTTGTGCCATTGCAGCTGAGGTCCGCCAGCATCAGGGCCTGTTGGGTATGTGTGCTTGTGTGACATCAGCCTGCTTATTTTCGACATTACTTGCTAGGAGAAGCTCACAGCTCTCTAGCGTTCCCTTAACTGCGTTCAGATGGGAACAGCATTACACGGTGGGTGTCCTACTGAATTAATGAACACTCCTTGCACTGTTTGAATCACTGCACTGGTTTTCAAACTACCCTGTGGACCTGGAGTGAGTGCTGCCGTGAGGAGCAGGCGGGGGCTCTCCGGCTGCAGCTGAGCAGCTCCCCTTTATCTGGCCCATGTGGCATGGATCCGCAGAGACTGTATGTGAAGAGCTTCCTGTGTTCTGAGGCTGCATGGCTTACGGAGCATATTGGAAAGTCCATGTGTTTCCATGTCAGATGTGTGCTGTGACCTTTTCTCAGCCACTTCATTTTCTCCATTATTTCAGGTGCTCACACACAAAAGGAGGGTGACAAGGAGTGGAGCAAGACAGATGGCTGGGAGAAATAATATACACACAACTATCTGCTTGTTTGCAAACAGTGACTAATAATGAACATCACCTAATTTGTGTGGGCTGCCCACCTGTGTGCTGGATGGCACACCGATTTCCCACATGGGGCTGGTAGTTTCTGAGAAAAGTGACTGCTTGCTAGAGACTACTGAGCAAGATACAGTATGTCTTGGAGTGAAGGAAAGACTTCTTAACATAACTCTAATGCTGGCATTGGAATTTACAGCTTGCTTAGCAGGCTTCGACAGTAGTTGGAGAATTCCTATGTGTCAGCCATAAACTGGTGTGTTCCTTAAGAGCAGCCAGCATCTTATTTATCTTTGTCTCCCTGGCTCCCTAGCACACAGATTGTTTATTATGCATTAACATGATAATCATAGGTAGCAGGGGAGGATATAATCTAGTCTAATCTTGACACCTTGCAGGGGATTTTCCAACTGACAATGGTGACCATGAATTAATCCAGTGACAGACACCAGGATTCCAGAGTAACCTTGTCCTTCAACTCCTCTCTGCCCAGCTCCATGGCCTTAGTGAACACTGAAAAGCAAATGGCTGCTTTGATGGCCAGGCTGTAATGTGAGCTGAGTTGTGACTGTATTTCTGTCAAACAAGATTACTGTCTGTAATCAACCCTAAACAAATGTGACAAGGAGTGTGAACAGTAGGATAATGACTTCCTTTCCCAGAAATTGGCTGATGATGTTTAACCGTGTGGCACATGTGCAGCTGACATCTTTATAAAGTCCAGAATGTAAAAATCCTTGGCTTTGAGCAAGTACACCTGACCTAGAACCTCTGCATTCTGCCTCATGGAGAACATCTAGCTTTTAGTGCCTGGGAAATTGCACTAAGAATACTATTTTGGGATCTAAAGCTGCTGAGCTGAATTCTCAGCTACTGCATTATCTCTAGAATAGCAGCAGTTGTGAAGACCAATTCCATCTGGTTTGAGACTTGTAGTGATCTGTTCAAGAGGCCTAACAGTGAGGATCGTATTTTTTAGCTTATTATAAGCTACTCGAAAGTACATGCAAAATCAAGCTAACTGTCTTGTTTTGGGAGCCCCCCAAGACCACCCACACATTTGATGGCTCACTAGAAGGAAATCAGAATATAGTTGTACTCATGGCTGAAATTTATTACAGTGCCAGTGTAGGTATACAAAGCTGGAGCAGTAAGAGAAAAAGATATAAGTGGAGTCTGAGAAATCTATGCTCTCTCACTCCTGCAAGAGGTCATGCAGAGCTCACCCTCCAGCACTGAACATGCGGCAACACGCATATGATGTTGATGCCCAGAGGGGCCCATTTGAGACTCAGAGTTTAGGGTTTTTATTGGGGCTGGTCATGCAGGCTTTCTCTGCCTAGCAGCCACCCAAATTCCAGACTCCCGGAAGGCAAGCAAGTGTTCACCATAAATCACATTGTACAAACAGCCTAGGCCCAGCAAACCAACCTTATCAGTTAAAATGGTCAAATATTTTGAAAGCCAAGTTCCCAAATTCCCTGGCAAGTAGGCTATTTAAATATAGCAGCCTCAGGTCTGCTGTGTTAACTCTTTTTGCATGAGTCTGATAAACCATTTTTAGAATAAATTAAGTCTAATTTATTTGGTCCATAATGGAAATTATGGCCCATTAAATAAATTATAATTTTTTGTTGACAATCTGTCCCCTGGTGTTTAAACCTAATTTGTTCTGTGTATAAAAGGTAACCACAAATTTGCATGGTTTTGCTGGCATATGATAAGATGGAATGAGACCACTTCATGTAATTGTAAGAAAATAATTTTAGGAGACTTAACACTAGACGGACTATACAAAGGTGCTTGTAATTGCAAGTTCTTTAGTATCTAGAAAACAAAGCATATAATCTCTGTCCAGAATTCCCTTTTTAAGCAATTGGAGAAAGAAGGGTCTAAAGTTCATGTGTGGTTTTTCAGCATGCATGTCTCGGGCTGTGCTGCAAGGCTCTTAGGCACAAGGCTCTACACATCAAGTTTAGGAACAACTTCCAGTTTTCCTGATGCTGGCATTTATCATGCCCCTTTGACAGGTCAGAGTAAAACTTCCTTGCATAGATAGTGCTTATTCTATGTTGGAAAGCAAGAAGTAGATGGGTTCACTCAACAGTTCACAGAAATGCTGCTCTTTGGGGAAACCTATGTTTAAAATATAAAACTGGAATCTTAAGACATTTACGTAGCATTTTATTCTAGGTTTTGAGATCTTGGATTCCATGTCTCCACCCAACAATCCTACCTCCTGCGTAGGGAAGTCATCATTTTGTGGCAAAACAGGAGGCGGGCTGGTACAGAAACAACAGGAGGGAAGTGACTCAGTGATTCGCTGTATTTGCTTGACTCTTTCAGACCCAACTCAGAAGTTGAAACTATAATCAGAGGGTCCTTAAAGGAAGTACGTACCTGGCACCAGGTCCTGCCATTTCCTGATGCCCCGTGTGCTCCTGCTATCCAAGTCTGTTCTCTCGCTTGCAACTACCCTTCCCTCCCTACTTTTATCTTTGAATCCTGGCAGTGGCAGGGAACGAAGGTGCCCCTTTCATTCACCAATGTCTCTGGTCTCTCTCCAGTGTCTATTGGGGTTTTCCTTCTAAGTGACATGCTGGCTTCCAGTCTGGAGAAATTTTGTTCTCTGTTGACTTCTAGATGTAGGATTAAAGAAAAATTTGAAAGTAGAAAAAAAGGACCTATAAACCCACCAGCCTAACACAGACACTGTGCTCATGTTTGAGTATTTCCTTCCAGCTTTTATTCATCTCCATAGATGACTCATTTCATAGTTGAAATTATAATAGTAAGTGTGTGTATTTCTTTCTTACCAACTCTTTTATTTTGAAAACTTTCAAATCTGCAGAAAAGATGAGTGACTAGCCAGAGTGAGTACTTGCATACCTTTCACCTAGATACATCAATTATTGCCATTTTGCTTCTCTCTCCTAAGTAATGTAGTGATGGTCTGGTCTGGCTGTCTCTTTTGTAAAGCAGTGTTTTCCTCCATTTGCTTCATAAAATACCGTCCCCCACTGAAATGAACTAGAGGTCCTGGAAGAAATGGTTGGTTCCAGGTCTGGGCAGGGAAAGTACAGGATGAGCCTGGAACATGTTGGATTTCAAGGAAGGAAGACTTAAAAACCGATGGGGAGGTTTTATATAAGGTCAAATAAGTCAGCTTGAAAGGGCTCCTGCTGGCCTCATATTGGACAATTTGAATATCAAAAAGAACGATGACAGCATTGGATTTTAACACACTACATTTCTGGAAAAAAATTTTGCATTACACAATGTAAATTTACATTACAAAAATTTACATTTACAAAAAATTAATTTACATTACATCATGGAAAAAATTCCATAATGATACTCAGAAAAAAAGAAAAGGCCACGAGCAAGCTGGTAGTGGCAGCGGCGGCTGAGCGAGGGGCCCGGGAGTGGCCTGTGCGAGCTGGCGGTGGCGGCGGTGGCCAAGCGAGGGACATGGGAGCAGCCCGCGCGAGCCTGCTGCGGCGGTGGCTGAACGAGCGGCCTGGGAGTGGCCTGCACGAGCCTGCTGCGGCATCTGTGGCCGAGTGA